GAGAGAGAGGAACACTCCTCCACTGCTGGTGGGAGTGCCGACTCATACAGCCTCTTTGGAAATCAGTATGGAGATTCCTCAGGAAAATGGGAATTAATCTACCACTAGACCCAGCAATTCCACTCTTAGGCATTTATCCAAATGAGGCAGGTACATACAACAAGGGCATCTGCTCCACTATGTTCATAGCAGCATTGTTTGTAATAGCCAGAACCTGGAAGCAACCTAGATGCCCCTCAACTGAAGAGTGGATAGAGAAAATGTGGTACATTTACACAATGGAGTATTACTCAGCAGAAAAAAACAATGGAATCTTGAAATTCGCAGGGAAATGGATAGCACTGGAAGAAACCATCCTGAGTGAGGTAACCCAGTCGCAAAAAGACAAACATGGTATGTACTCACTCATATACGGATTTTAGACATGGATCAGGATAGTACCAGTCTGCACTTCCACAGATAGAGAGTCTGGGAAACAGGAAAGAACCTAAAAGATATGCATATATGCATAGTACCCAAGAGAAGAGGATGGAGACAAGATCCTCTGAATGGATGGGGAACACGGCGAGGGGTGGGGGAGTGGGACCTGGGAAGAAGAGAGGGGTGAAGAGGAAGGGAGTTGGTCATGGGGGAACAGGGGGTTGAGGGGGTGGGGGTAGAATAGGGGGAAGAGGGAATCATAGGTTCGAAGACAGATCAGGCACCAGAGTGACCTCGAGTGATCTAAAGGGATAACACCAATTGGCAAGCTAAGCAATAGTGGAGGGACCACCTCGAATGCCCATCCCTGATAATGAACTTGATGTCTATAACCATCCAGGAGCCTTCATCCTGTGACTGATGGAAGCAGAGGCAAACACACAACTAAGCACTGAACTGAACCCAAGGAACCCAGTGACAGAGAGAGAGGAGTGATGAGCAAATTGGCAAAGAATGGGCTGGCAAAACCAGCAGAGACAGCTGAACAGAACAGGGGAGAGCTCTTGGACCCCAGACCGACAGTGGGGAGGCCAGCATGGGACTGATCTGGACCCCCCAAATGTGAGTGTCAGTGAGAAGGCCTGGGCAACCTATGGGGCCCTGAGCTGTGGATCAGTGTCTATCCCTGGTATACAAACTGTCTTCGTGTGCCTATAGCACAAAGAGAGATGCTCTCTCAGCCTGGACTCTTAGGGGAGTGCCTGGACCCTACCAAGAGTAAAATGACAGACTCTAGGTATCCCCTATGTGGAAGGATTTGGCAATAGGGTGGGAGGGAGGGGGGGAAGGGGAGTGCGGGAGGAGGGGAGGGAGAGGGAACTGGGATTGACATGTAAAACAAGCTATTTAAAATTAAAATAAAAATGATAAAAAAAGAAATACAAAGTCCAGGCTCTTACAAAACATTCACTTGTAACAGAGTTGAAAATTTACAATATGGGGTAGGTATATAGCTCAATAGTTGGGTGCTTGTCTAGCATATGCAAGGATTAGTGTGGGTTCAGTACTCAGCACCTAAAAAGTGAATAAACTATATATATATATATATGTATATATAAGATATAAGACGGTGGTAATTATAAGAAAGGTGGTGGTAGAAAGGTAGACAAGATTACTTGGTTAACTGCATACTATGCAAACAAGAGGACCTGAATTTATTGAATCTCCAGAACCCATATACAAAACATAATGGTACCTACTAGTAATTTCAGCAGCAGAGAGCTAGAGACAGGAGGATCCTTGGGGCTTGATGGGCAGCCAGCCTAGCCTAATTGGCAAGCCCTATGCTTCTAAAAGATGCTGTCTCAAAATAGAATGCGGGCAGCATTTGAAGAGCAATACCTGAGGTACACCTCCACTTGCAAATATGTAACATACATGCACGCATATACACGTGCACATGTACACAATTAGGGGTGGTGGTGATGGACTCAACCTGGTAGTCATGATATAGTAGTGTCTCAAAGAGAGAGCTAAGAGATTCAAGGAGTTCCAGATTTGAGAAAGAGCAAACAAAATTACATTTCAAGGAGAATTGTGAAGATATCTTCTGAGAAAGAAGATCTGATGGTTTTGTAAAAGAGCAGGAAAGCAAATGGATTGCTAGTCTGGCTAAGCAGTTCCACGCTATAGGGCTGCCTTGGGCTCATGGTTGTGAAGGTATAGTGGGACCAATCATCACAATTTGATTTCCTCAGTTACGTTCAGCTGCCCAGTTGTTCCGGCACAATGCATAATAGGAAAAGCTTTGAATTGTTGGCAGATTCTGCTCATTCCAAATTAAGCATAAGAAAAAAAGCAGAGCTGAATGCATAAAGGGAGTTAACCATAAACATGGCCTTTTAAAATGAAATAGTACTATGGAGATGGCTGGACATTTAAGAATGTTTAATGCTTTTGCAAGAGGACCCAATTCAGTTCCCAGCACTCATGTCAAATAGCTCACAACATGTAAATAGAGTTCTTAATTGGTATAAATAATAAAAATCTGAGTCAGATATAGAGGAAAAGCTAATGAGGTAAAGGTGGCTTTGCCTTGCACCTTCTTCTCTCTGATCTCTCCACATTTTCCTCTATGTCTGACCCTGGGTTTTTATTATTTAGATCAGTTTCACAACTTACATTAACTCTAGCTCCAGGGGATATGATTCCATGTTCTGGCGTCTTTGAACACCTGCACTTATGCACACACCCATACATATAGGTACACAGACATACATAAAAGGGAAAATAAATCTTTGAAAAGATGACATGTGGCTAGAGGACTGAAACACAGGCAAATGTGAGCCTGAGAGACGGCTCAGCTGGTCAGCAGACTTGCTGCAATGCTTGACAATCTGAATTCAATCTCCCAATGTACGTCGTACAAGGAGAGCTACTACCCCGAGTTGTCCTGACATCCATACACAAAATAAAAATTTATTAAAATACACATGCTCCATAACACACTAAGGAGATAGTAGTAACATTAGGGGACAGAACGTCTCTCATTTCAGTAGCTGTAATTCTGCCTCCTGCTTCTAAGCAGCTGTCAACAGCTTAAAACACGTCCTTCTCCTATTGTCCTTCCCTCTTTCTTTGTGTTTTTCTATTCGTTTTCAAGCTGTCCCCCAAGCTGGAAGCATGCAATGAGAATTGAGGACAAAGTTGAATATTAGGTGTCTATGGATTGGGTTGAAAGCAGGCAGGATCAGGTATAGGGGTGGGCAAGTGAGGGCTGATAAAAGGAAACAAGAAACCACCCCCTGCTTTTTTCTACTCTTCCAAGTTTGGGTTAAAGGTCAGCACATCAAGAGGCACACTGCCACTAGAGTATTAGCAATTAAATCCTGTCATTATGTTTGTTCCCAACCTCAGTGTGCATGGCTTTTCAAAATGATTGGATCAGGGCAGACTTTCTTTTTTCCCTGTCTGCTTTAAAGGTGCATTTCTACACTCAGCAAACGTCCATGGCATTGTAAAGCAGAGAAATGCCATTACTTTGCCTCTTGACATACACTGCACATAAATCTCTCCATAGGAGGCCCTGACGAAAATGGGAAGAATTCTCTAGACTAGCAAATTGTTCCCATGAACTATTCAAGCTTTGAAGCCTTTGGAGAGACAGATTTGGCAGAACATGTTTTTCTTTCTTTTAAAATGACTATGCTAGTGCTATTAATAAGACATAGCTGATAACAATGCAGAGATCATTTTTAGAAGTTAAATATGATTATTTCATTAAAGAATGTTCTCTTAAAGAACGTTCTCTCTTGAGAAAGCATGTATTTATTATATGGGAGTTTTTGACATTAATTCTTTCCCTAGTCTTAGTATTTTGTAGACAGTCCTGCTACCTATTGTATTTGTTTATTCAATTACTAACCAAAATATTTACTCACATTTAGTCAGCTTTAGCATCAACTATGGACCAAACCAAAAGATAAAGCAGTAAAATACCCCTCTTAGACAAGTTATAGGACAAATAATATAAACAGTAGCAGTACAAGGGAAAATATATTAAGTAGAAGCCAATTAGTGTGTTATCTAAGAGCCTGTGTGTTTTTTGCCATTTCAACTTGTCATAGCATTTTTTCCTTTTGTACTGCATAAGTGGGGAGATTGGGGCTATTTGTTTATGTGTGAGGGCCTAAGGTCAATTTTGAGCACTGTTTCTTGGGAGTCATCTTGTACTCTGTTTTTAAGTTTTTGTTATTTTTAAATATTTGCCTACATATGTGTCCGTCCATCATATATGCACCTATTACCCACGGGGGCAAGAAGAAAGTACTGGATTCCGCCAGAAATGGAACTGTGCACAGTGTCGAGCTTCCATATAGTTTCCATGAATCAAGACCAGGTAATTCGAAAGCGCTCACTGGGTTAGGTGGCTCACTACCCTAGGCTGGCTGACCCATGAGCTCCAGGGATCCTTCTGTCTTTGGATTGTAAATGCACACTATCCTTCCTAACTTTTTTACCTGGGTTTTGGTGATCAATGACTGAGATCCAGCCTTTACTGCATGACCTCCCTACCTGGAATTCCTTAACAGTCCTCCTGATTCTTAATTTTACTCCTCTTTTAAAAACTCTGCTCATGTCTTACTTAATTTAAACAATTGCCAGGTGTTTTTCCCTGCCTTAGATTCACAAAACATTCCCACCTGGTACCTGTACTCCACTGGTACTGCTATTTCCCATACCCAAGCACAACCTATGTAGGAATATAAAAACAACAAATTGATTTTCAAAGTGTGTCAATGGTGGTGCATGCATGTAATCCCAACACTTGGGAAGTGGAGGAAAAAGGATAAAAAATTAAAGGTTAGTCTCAGCTAAATAGGGCATTCAAAACCAGTCTGGGTTGCATGAGATCCTGTCTAAAAAATAAAATAAAATGATTCCATGTCCTAAGTGGAAGAAAACCAGACAACAATCCCATGAGCAAATAATTCCAAAGGAAGTATCAGTGAAAGGTGACTAGACAACACCCTTTGGACCCATTAGAGGAGAACTGGAAATTACAAGAGAACTCTGCTTACCAGAATGGCACTGGAAGCAATTTCCCACTCAGCAACGCATGTCAAGGGAGAACAACCTATTAGGGCAGAGGACTTATGATGAGTTTAAAGAGTCAAATATGCACAGGCTAGGGAAAAACGAGTCTTGTTCATTTTCTTCATTTATGCAGCTCACAGTCAGCCTTTGTTGTTGCTTTCCTTTTTGTCTTAGGCATCTAGCCTAGCATTAAAAATCAACTAGCTTTTGGTGAGCTTTTCATCTCATTTTATTTCTCTCCCTAGTCTCTGCCACATGAAACAGTCTAATTTCATAGACATTTTAGACAAATACCCAGTTATATATGAATATAGGGACGATAAGAAGAAATACAAAGAAACCACAGCAACAAGGGAGGCAGTTCTGCCCCAAAGCAGAGGAGAATCACACTGGATCAGTAACCATCAAATAACCTTAGATTCAAAACATCAATGTAAACGTTTGTAGAGAATACAATTTGCCACTTTCTTGGCAACCAGAAGTATTTATACCCCACTTAAAACTCAATATTAACCATTTCAAATACACAGGGTAGCAGTGTCTATCACTGTTGTGGATCCTTATTCTTTAGTTACCAAGAAGCTAGAAACAAAATGAGAAGGCAGGCCTGGGACCAAGTTTAACATGAAGGCAACAAGAAACTTAAAAAGAACACAGTTCAGACTACACCTGGCGGGAATAAAATATGGCTTTCATTTTAACTCTTTCAGAGATATGGATTGTGGACAGGAATCCAAGGGTGCTAGTTTAGCCTTGTGGACAGTTAGTTTGGCATCAATACAACTTAAACAATCAGGTATGATGTGGGCTATGATGAAGGCAATCAAGTTGCAGGGCATCTGAAATACAATTTGTAATTTGAATTAGTACTGAATTTGAGAAGTTTTAGCACTATCTTAGGTGGAATTCACTGGCTCTAACATGCATTAACATGAACCATTAAGACTACTCCAAGTTTATGGTTCACCAATCACATTTGAACCACCACTTTAAGAATATTCCTGGTGCTCCCAAAACTCCTACATGCACAGATTCTCCCCTCCCACGTGGTTTGTACTCTTATCTAGTTACAACTTTCTTCCCAGAGTTATCATGAACCACAGTTTTATATGATGACTTATGGTGATGCTTTTTGCTCAGTAAGACTATCATTCCTGGTTCTACCATTCCTGTGTCCTAAATTCCTGATAACTAACTCTTGTTTCCTACCTTTGTTAATATATACTCCTAACATCCAGTTAAAGAACACTACCACCCAACACAATTATGGTTCAGCTCTATCCCATGGCAACAGCTCCAAAGCTCACGCAAACCAAGGTTCCTGGTTCACAGAGCACAGTTTTTCTAAAAGAGGCAAGTCCCACAGGTAAGAAGATAATGGTATATGTACAAATACTGACTTTGGATTTACGCACCAGAACTGGAGCATCTCATGCTCTGATAGAAGTTCCAAGATAAATTATATTATTTTGCATACATATACACTATCCCCATAAAAAAGTAGGATGCTAGGAAGGCTGAGTAAGGAAAACAAATGGGAAGCAGACAGTCTGTGGTAATAAAAGTTACATTCATCCATTATTCCACTAATCGCCCTTGGGTCAAGGTCATTCTGGGAACATCTATGACCACTAGGACAATTTAAAAAAAAGAAACTTTTATTCCAATTGAGTAGAGAGCAAGTTTCAATTTTCAACAAGCAGAATACAACAGAACTTTTAATTGAAAGGGTGGGCTGATCTTACAGATTCCCTAGTACTTGACTTTATAGAAATTCTCTATTCCCCCCCCAAGAAAAATCAAGGAGATACTTTCAGGATATTAATGGAGTAGATTCAGCGTTGAGGTTCAATCAGGGGTGTTTTAGACTTCACTGACACAAGGGGGCACTGCAACATTTTTCTTGCCATGGCAAAGAGAGCAGGCAAGTCAATACATCTTCATTTGACTTAAGAATAAACACATTCCATGCTTAAGACTTTGTGAGAGAATTTTACATAGCCACTGTTTGGAAAATGAACCTGAAAATGCAGTGTCACCAGGGATGGAAAAAATCTATCAAATGTCTTCAAAATGTATTTTGAATAGGAAAAATCTAAAGTTGACTTTGTTCATTGCATTTTAATGCATTGTGAAATATCCTAATTATTGAATGTCCCAAACTTAAATGATACCTAAAATATCTAAATATCTCATTCCTCTTAAGGTACTACATTCTTCCCACCAAAATATTTTCCCTTTTGTTGCTGGGGTGGGGGATGACTGACTGTCATTGAGGACAGAAAACTTAAGACGGAGGACATGGCAAATTATCAGGAGTAGAAGAAAAAGATAGGTGATGATTCAAAATCTACAAATTTATGCTTCATTGAGGCCTAGCACAAATGCTATCTACTTCACTAATGTACCCAGCATTCTCCCAATAATAGCATGACTACCTCTTGATTTCTGTCTATTACTTCTGAAAACTGAAATGTGTAAGTGGATTACCCCAGGTACATCTATGCTAAGCACTAAAACCATCTAGCCTGTACAGTGTACTGTTTTCATTAACATGAGTTTGTCATCCCACTCTTTTCATCAATATGATTATACTGTTCTAAAATACTCTTGTGTAGGAAGATAAAAGTTAAAAATAGCTTTATTGCTTATTCCAGAAATGCTTCAATACAAAGTATGATGGGGCTGAGAGTGTAGTTCAGTTAGTAGAATGTTCATTTAGCATGAATGAAACTGTGGGTCTGATCATGGTACCACATGAACTGAGTGTGGCTGAACATGCCTGTACTACCAATATTTGGAAGGTGAAGGCAAGAGGACCAGGAGCTCAATATCACTCTTAGGTATATAGCTATATAACTATATACCAATTTAGAAAGTTAAAGGCCATCTTGGGCTACATGATATCTTGTCTAAAAATTTTTTAGAAAAGGAACAAAACCACAAATATGATGTATTATATTATGCCCCCTTTTCAAATTCCTAAATTTAACTCAATCTTAAAAGTTATGACTTTAGGGCTGCTGGAGAGCTGGCTCAGAACTTAAGAGCATTGGCTGCCCTTCCAGAGGTCCTGAGTTCAATTAACAGCAACCCTTAGATGTTTATGCTGGCTGGCAACTGATTTTCCTGTTGAGTGGATTAAAAACTATAAAGAGAAGCTATATGGACCCCAGGGAAATAATTTATTGTTAAGGTTCAATTTTTAAGTGGAAAAGTGACATAAATATTCAGGATATTGGACATGTTCTAATTAGTATGCTGAAGTGGGTTGTTGTCAAGCATGTAGTTTTCAGTAGTAAGGTGATTTCATTATATGTTAGCAATGAAATCTAGAAGAGAGAGGGGCATGTTTACTCCTTGGAGATACTTCCACCTCTAGCTACAGCCACAAGGTGATTAATGACATGTGATGAAGCACAAAACTAACTTATTTTAAGAAATCAAGAGTAGCAGTAGCTACTTTTATAATGTATGCAAACAACAAATAATTGGTATAATATTTCCTCCTACTATTTGTGAAATAGCCCAAATACCTGGTAGTCAAAAAAGAAGAATTTTTTATTTACCCACTTTGTATTAAAATAGCTATAAATAGTTACCATATTGGACCCATGAATCTATAAAAGATCATGGTGGGAATAGTTTAATATACTGCCAGTTTTGGAAAATGCATCTACTTCCAAGGGACTGGAGATTAGCTGACTTAACTCCTATCACATTTCCCTTTCTAACCTCTCTTCCATGACAGAGAAGACATGTAATACAACAGTCAACAGACAATACTAATCTAGTGAGGACAAAAACTGGAAGGAGCTATTTTGCTATTTGCCACTTTCTTTTCCTTTTTCACCCGCTGAGTACACACGTGAAAACCGGAAAAGGCAAATAAACCATGATATAGTTAAGCATATAGAGAACAACTGGAGTAAGGAAGCTATTCAAGGCTCATGAGACGTGAACAAAGACGAAATGCAATCAGCGAAAAGACTTAAGTATATGGTTCCCTAAAGATGTCACTGAGCCAAATATAATAACTGCCATATTTATGTAAGCATTTGTTACTTGAAGTTGACCACTGAATATGGAGTATCATGATGTTTTAATCCAAAGGGTGAGACAGTAACAGTCATTTTATATTAGCTGAACTAGAAAGCTAACAAGTTTAGAATGGCAGACTAAAATGAATGATCATAGGGTCATCAACCTTTTGCAATAATCTTGAGCTACTACATAAGGAACAAATTTACTATCAACACATTTTCTGTGGTGTGACAACTAGAAACCTGCAGCTAAAAATCTATCAAGTAGATGTTTTTATTTACATGAAATAAAACATGTCTAAATGATGCTTTCAACCATCAGTCCCAGACACACGATACGTAAACAGAAAGTTTGCCAGCCCAAGACAGAATTGTTGCATTAAACATAAAAAAGTACTAAGATTCTACTTGTTGGGTCCTCTAGAGCTGGAGTTACAGATGGTTGTGAGCTGCCATGTCAGTACTTGGAATTGAACCCAGGTCCTCTGCAAGAACAGCTAGTGCTCTTAAACACTGAGCCATCTCCTTGTTGCTGGGTGTTAGTGGTGCACGCCTGTAATCCCAGCACTCTGAAGACAGAGGCAGGCGAATCTCTGAGTTCAAGGCCAGCCTGGTCTACAAACCTACGAAGAGAAACGCTGTCTCAAAAAAGAAAAAAAAAGATCCTACTTGTTTAAGCTTCTAGAGTTTCAAGTAGTGATCTGGTCTCCTTACTGATCCTCTATTCAATTCTTTTTCACATCCTTGTTTACATTAATATGTAACAGCTGGAGTTTTTACAGTCAGTGATAAGAGTGGCAAGGAATAGAGATGACGTTAGAGAAGAGTGTTCAGGTAACATCCCTTTCAGTGTAGTTTGGTGGAATGAGTCACCAGGTTATGACATTTAGTGAGTGCAAGATATGGAGAAAAACTCTTTCATGACAGTAGCATTTGAGTTCAAGAAAGACTGGAGAACAGTTTCACACACACACACACACACACAGACATACTCTCT